CTACTTTCAGAAAGCGAGGTTTCAATATTGAGTCTTACGGGTCCGGAAATCAAGTTAAACTTCCTGGCACAGCAATAGACAAACCGAACTGTTATGAGTTTGGAAAAACGACATATGAATTCATTTATAACGATCTCAAAGCGAAGGATTCAGCATAGTAAGTGGTCTGTGATCCTTGTCAACGGACTACCTTGGTCTACCACTTTGTTTAAGTTACACTCAGAATGGACTTTTGAATATGCTGGACCGAAATCGTCGCATAAAGCCAGCTCCACAGAAGTTTCAACACGAAGACAAGGAATTCGATGTCATTATTTGTCTTGAAGAGAGGGTTTATGATCAGGTAGGTTAGCTTTGCAGTATTCCTTCATTCATTATTGGGCGATCTTTAAGCCATGTGTATCTTTTGTCGTTTTACTGAAAGGGAAGGAGGGTCATGGGTAGGGGAAGCATTACGCTCGCCTGCGATTCGAGCGATACGAGCGATGTGCCAGCGAAACGCAAGTGATCGCTGGTGTATCGCTTGAATCGCTGGAGGTTGCCTAAACTGTTCGGATCGCGAGGTTCGCTAGTGATTGATCGCAGAGCCTGAAACCTTCCTAAGGCCGCACACGGTGTCCCACTAGTAGCTTGCCAGCTCTGTCGTGGAGCTGGGTAAAATCCAAATGGTTAGCGAATCTTACCCGGAGTGGACCATACGGATTTGTTTACGGAAGCGACCGCGGACCGCCTCCCATATACTTTCTTATCTTTTGAATGCAAGCTGTTGATTGCGCCGGGTCACGACACCATCCGCACCACACACGCACGCGATGATACGTCTGAGCGGACCAAAACAGCACTACAGAAAAAGATTCCGTCTGTCGAATGGACTTGCGTCAAAAGGGATTCTTCCCCTTGAATGTGATTGCGTACCAGGAAAAGTACACGACGACTTTCCTTTCGCGATTTACCCTATCTGCCTCTTGGGGTGCGACTGTGCCCCGCTATTGATCGGAGGTCTTTCAGTCCTTTCAGTGGTGGGCAGTACCTTCGTGAAAGAGGATCTACTGGCAATGAAACGCTCTCATCTCTGATTTCAGGTAGTTGATCATCTTCATACTCGGCCAACAACAAGCGGTAATCCGGCTCATGTCATTAATATCGACATTGAAGATAACCCAGAGGAAGCAACCATAGGAGCTTGGCTAGTTTGTGAATTATGCGGAAAGGTATTTTTTGTGTTTTCAAATATACGTGAATAATAATCGGCGCTATGTGCCTCAAGGGTGGGAAAGTTGATATGTAATACATTGCAACACGGCTACATTAACAACCAGGGTTGAGCCAAAAATTAGGGAGGGGGGGGGGAGGTGTCATTTCCTCTGGCCTTGCTTCCACTCATGTTGTTAGGCTTAAGAGTTTACTCCCTAGGAATGTTTGACCGCAACCCTGATAACAACCTTCTCCCCACCCCGCCAAACGCACTCTGTTATGGTACTTATTTTCTATTTCCCATTGTACTCATTCTTATATAAGATATATATTAGGTCGGTCCATAATTTTTGAGAACCTTTGGTGTTTTTCGACTTAATTACTTATCTTATTTCTCTGATGTACTTATTCAGCACAGTATACATCACCATTATTACCAACATATAACCAATGCGAGGGTGGGTATTCAGTGTCCTCTTGTAGAATTTCATAGAGTTCTGATCGAAGAAATATTGGATGTCGATTTTGACTTTATGGTGATTCAAGTGAGATTTCTTCTCCAGAAGGTGATTGAGAGAGGAGAGCGGATAGTCGTTCGTTGACGCAGGATTAGTGCTATAAGGCGGAGCTAAAAGAACTGACCGCCCGAGAGTCTCCAATTTTTTAGGAATTTTCTTAGCAAGGCGGGCTCGAACGACCTCAGAGAAAAATAGATTTTGTCTTCCTTTGCTTTCAAGTTGAAGGCGTTGCCATCAAGCTGTCAACGATTCTTCCCATCACTGACACTGGTATTAGTTGATGCCGGTCTTCAGCGCAAAGGCCCTCCCGTATTGCGCCAACGACTCAGGAAGTTCGAATTCAGAGGGAGTTGGGTTTGTACTGTCAGAACTCCCGAATCGTTTGAGCAAATCTACTGCGGCTCGTGGATTTGTTAGCACACTGCACCCAGTCCACATCACCAATGAGTATTATAGATGGTCATCCGAAGGAACTATGGGAAACCAACAGGAACTTGATGATGTCAGATTGGGTTGAGAACTGATTCGGGACTACAATTTTCCTTCGATCAGAACTCTATGAAAGTCCACAAGAGAGGCACTGAATACCCACCCTCGCATTGGCGATATGTTGTTAATAATAATGATGTATACTATGCTGGATAAGTAGATCAGAGAAATAAGATAAGTAATAAATCGAAAAACACCAAAGGTTCTCAAAAATTGTGGACCGACCTAATATTATATTTTCATTTCGATGGTATACTTCCTACGTTGACTTAGAAGTTTTGGGAGGCTCACATTGGAAGTATCGTTACTGAAAATACGTCGATTTTTGAGATAAATAGTGGATCACTGGTATCGGACTTATCGCTGATTATTCATACTTTAGTTGGATGAATGTGACGATCTGGACAATGAAATCGACGAAATCTTGGCAGATTTCGAGGCAAAAAATCAGAAACGGAATATACTGCACACCATTTGTTTCTATTGAATGGATGTTTTTCCTGTGTTGTACAAATTGAAGCCAATTGTTCCGTGAGCCTCATTTGAAACTGTGACAAATCTCTCGGAACATCGTGTCTAGGTGGACTACGAGGGTTCATTCTCGTTGTCGTGCATTGTATTTCTTACCTCTAAGTATGATTTATTCCAAATACTGTATTAAAATTTTCTTGCTCGCTCCCATTGCCATCGTATGTGACCTAATGACACCCCCACCTGACACAATGTCGAAAACGGAATCAAATGTTTCGCCCACATTTTTTCTTCACCTTTCATTTATATCCAGGATGGGCAAGAACTAAGGTAACAAGATAAAGCGCCATGGGAACTTATAGGGCTTACCCGACACAGGTGGCAACCGAATGCTCCAGGTACGTGCAGCTGCAGGGAAATCGACATGACCAACAATCTATCTTCATCCCTGAGCGTGGAGAAAATACCATGGGACGTAAATAAAAGACATGCAATGGAGTGGTGAATAAGACGGGAGAACATCCGTCTTCTTGCTCATCTCTTCGATTTTGCAGTCCTTCCTGCCTTAACCTACGCTTCAGAGACTTCGACTAAGTGCAGGCAGAACGCAGTCAGTCCAGCGCGCTGTCGAGAGGACGATGCTAGGAGTAACCCTATACACGCAAGTGCAGAGGGGAATCCGGAGTTCCGAACTACGCCAACGATCGAAGATCAGGGACGCTGCCGTTTTCGCCAAGGAATCGAAGATAAGGTGGGCCGGACACGTCATGCGATTTTGCGATGACCGTTGGACCAGAGCGGTTACCGACTGGATCCCTCGGGACGTCAAACGAACACCTGGACGACCGCCGGCCCGATGGTCAGACTTCTTCACGAAAGCTCTGAACGAAAGGAATGAAGGACTTCGTGTCCCTCGAGGAGGATCCACTGGACCACTCTAGCACGCGACAGGGACGAATGGAGACGTTGCTGGCGCCCGCTCGAGCAAATCGATGATCAACGGGGCGGCATGTGACACTCCATATAATGAACACAACTGTGAATCCACCAGGTAGCGGTGGCCATGCCTTAAAAGCGGTTGCGATAGGTTCGGAGGGGGTTAAAGGGATAAGGTGTGCTCAATGCTCCAAAAGGGGCGGAGAAGCCTGAGAAATTCGTCAGAAAACGCAAAAGGCCCCTTCCGCTCCTCAATTAGCCGTTGGTTTTCGGCTAAGGAATGCAAAGGCGGCAAAAGCGATAGAGGTTGGACCCTTAAAGGAATCTTGCGCGGAAAATTCTTGCACTCTTTCCTAACATGAATATGTCAGTTGTGATCACTGGAAATAGCACACAAAGTTTCACGCATGAAGATTCGGTTTCTGAAGAGAAACAAACGTACAAAAACTACACGTTATGGACCATCGAAGGACCAGGAGGCAGAGCCAGGCGAGGCATGGAAAGAAGACGGCGTTTGGCCGGCTACGTACCAGGCGACGCAATGAGAGAATCGGGTTAAAGCGCGCGATTTCGGAGAGTGGAGACAAATCGATCGATGGAATAGGATGGAGTAGAAGTGTAAGATGTGAATGCAACGAAGCAGAAGGCCAGAAAGAGCTTCTAGTGAATGCACTCCAAGAACCAAGTTTGAGCATCCCCGTCGCCAGCATTCGTGAAAGACGTCCGTGGGCAATTCGAACGCGTAGCAGCCTTTTCGAGTTTTCGAATTTCTAATCAAAACGAAAGCAATACTTCAGTTCTTTTCACTATTATCGTGGATAATGAGTCTCAAGCCAGTGATTTATGGCTGAAATAGAATCATGATTTTTCGCGCAAGATTCCTTTAACGTAACGCATTTGTGGCACAGCCATTCCAATGTTTACAGTGACGTGCGGCAATTGTGCCACTGCTGCATCACTTCCTGCTCATCTCTTGAATCGTGGTACATTACAGGAATCCCTAAAGGTTGGAGAAGGGGCTCAACCTCAAGAGAATTCGTGATTGTGGATTGAATTATCTTCAAATTCTTTATTAGGACATTTAAAATAGAATAATACGAAAACTTTCGCAAAACTGCTCTATTTTGGTTGAGCGACGTATCTTCTCTGCGGTACTTTTTCTGTCCCTCCTGGTGGTGGGTCGCACAGCGAACGGTCGTCCATATACAGCTGAGAAAAGGATGTTTAACACTATTCATTGAAAAAAATATCGATGCTGTTGTTGTCAGAAATCAGGAAAGGGGCGAATTGGCTGGAGTGTCTCTGGTTTGCATGAACCATCTGCCACATTGAATACGTAGCTGTCTTCGCGCCGACTATCTTCTTGCGTGGGTAGCTCTACTTCACCAAGAGTGCTTAAGTGGCTTCCATGGTAATTCATCAACTTCTGGATGGTCGTGCCCAACAACTCAATACGTGTACCTCTGGTGATGAGGCACACCATTAAGTACTGACTGTTTTATTCAGGGATGCCTGTAGTACCACTCTTTTTAAAGGCATGCCCCAGGATCACACTGTTGTGGCTCTTGTACGCGAATGTGAATGCATTGGTGAGAGAGCGGCAGTGAAGAAAAAGGAAACGAATCCGTTAGAAACACTTACAATTAGTTTATGGTCTCACACACCTTCCCAATCGGCTGTGTTAAGGGAATGAGAGACTAAGCCCAGAGAAGAGATTCTTGCACTCTTTCACTAACATGAGATAATGTCAGTTGTGATCACTGGAAATAGCACACAAAGTTTCACGCATGAAGATTCGGTTTCTGAAGAACAAACGTACAAAAACTACACGTTATGGACCATCGAAGGACCAGGAGGCAGAGCCAGGCGAGGCATGGAAAGAAGACGGCGTTTGGCCGGCTACGTACCAGGCGACGCAATGAGAGAATCGGGTTAAAGCGCGCGATTTCGGAGAGTGGAGACAAATCGATCGATGGAATAGGATGGAGTAGAAGTGTAAGATGTGAATGCAACGAAGCAGAAGGCCAGAAAGAGCTTCTAGTGAATGCACTCCAAGAACCAAGTTTGAGCATCCCCGTCGCCAGCATTCGTGAAAGACGTCCGTGGGCAATTCGAACGCGTAGCAGCCTTTTCGAGTTTTCGAATTTCTAATCAAAACGAAAGCAATACTTCAGTTCTTTTCACTATTATCGTGGATAATGAGTCTCAAGCCAGTGATTTATGGCTGAAATAGAATCATGATTTTTCCGCGCAAGATTCCTTTAAGCTCGACCGGTGCATCGCGTCTTCGTGACACATGCTTCAGATGTTGTCCGTGTAGAAAGCTATTACATTTTTTTGTAAAGTGAAGGGTGCGCTTCAATTTTTACTTGAGAGCATTCAGTTTGGCAAAATGTCGTTCATTCCGCTTCAAATGTAGAGACAGAATTTCTTCGTTTTCGCTCCCCCCCCCTCATTTCACCCCCGTGCAGGGTGGCTGATAGACCTGCAGTGCTTGCAGGAGACCAACGAAAAAATTCATGAATTGCGCACTATGGGAATTTACAGGGTGGAAACTGGGTGGTTGAGGCTGTACTTTTACATCCGCGGACACCTGAGGACCAGCACCCTTATTATCTTGAAGTTACCGCCTTTTTGATTCACAAAGAGCAGAATAAAAGTCATCAAAAAGACACTTACGAAGTGTCAGTGGATGGGCGCGGCTCATACTCGAACATGAGTCTGCTCTTCGTATGAGCAAAGAAGCCTCCAAGGAAACTTGCGGAGGCTATGTGATTGGACCACTGTTAGCGTGGTAATAATAGTGTACTTGTTCATAAACTGCGGTCGCGCAGGTTGTTGGCTTCTCATCGGATGACAATGTTGTATGGTAACTCATGGCCAGCTTGTAGGTCAACGAAATTCGCCTGCATGCAATCTTATTCGATCGTCGGTGAAAATGGAGTTCAATGGGGTCGCATTCCATCATGCCTCAACGATGAAGATCAAGATAAGGCTAGAGGTACCGCTAGCGGTAACCATAAGAACTTTAATAGCACGCACAAAGCAACGTATTGATCAGAATCGGTGAAATGCCCCACATCATCAAAATTCAACCCATTTTTTATACATTCACAGTGTCATGTGAAGCTACGTCCCATCTAACATTTCCTACTCCTGGCCAGCAAAGCATCGTTTATATGTTTCAGGATCGCTTCTCTTTGCAATTTTAGGCGATTTCAATCTGTCGTATCATAAGCTTCTCTGAATAAGCAACTCAGTTGAAGCTCTTCCTTAGCGTTATCACTGTCCCTTATCTTGAGAGGCCAACGAGCGGGATGGAGTGGTCCTCTCCATGCATCCATGTTCACAAGGCCGCCGATCCTTTCTTCTCCAACAGCCCACCTATGCTGTGTGCTGACATTTTCTAGAAGGGAAAGGGAAACAAACATTAGTATGCCTAGGTAAGAATAGGAGTAATATGATTGCGAGATGGCGTGGTCCTTAAGTTAGTCGGCAATTCAATGGCATAGCTCGTTCTGATATTAGTCGGTAGCAGCAAAGCGAATATTTCACTCTTTTCCTCGTTATCACATTACGTCAATCCCTCTTCATAAGCTTTTGTCAGATGTGTTACTCGCCATCACTCGTTTCTATTGTATTATTCAGGGTATCTAACGTTCTCATGTAACATCCAGAGACGTGGTGAAAATTGGTAATTATCGCTCGCTTTTCAGCCGCTCAACTAGTTGGTCTCACATTCTACTACGCAACGAATTGTACGCGCAACAAGGCTTTAATTGGTTGCCATCACTATCGTCACTAATTCTATGAGTGCTTATCACAGCTCATTGAAAACTCCTAATTATCTCCTAGCGGTAGATATGTAAGCAAACCAGCCCTTTTGGCGTTTCTGCTGGGGTATGCTGAATGTTGGGGAGGGGATGGGGTCCCGACGGTCGACGGACTACTTCAACTCGGTCCTTGAAAACCGCCTCAATTTGATGCTTACCTCAGGACTAAGCCTTAAAGAGAGGACGGACCTGCGAGAGAGCGCAGGTCCGTCCTCTCTCCAAGGCTTAGTCCTGGGTAAGCAAACCAGCCCTTTTGGCGGAGCTGCTGGACCTAGCTGCACCACTTCGTCATCACTCTCCTACCGTACCGACCGAGTTCAAGTAGTCCGTCGACCTCGGGGACCCCATCCCCTCCCCAACATTCAGCATACGGCCCCAGCAGAAACGCCAAAGGGGCTGGTTTGCTTACTCAGAAGTTACACTTCATATCAGCCATCTGTCTACCGCAGCATATGTACATACATGAGTGCGAACTTCCAATTCCCGATGGAGACGGTGTAAGGGAGTTATTCACACCGCTTTCTTTATTATAGGCTCTTTACAGTTGTCGTCTTAACCTTCATAAGTCCTTTTCATTGCTCTCTTATTTATTCAACTATTGTTTTTGGTGTGGAACGTCAACGTTCTAGTCCCACCCCCTATGCCATGCCACTACTGTTGTAAGGCAGGCCTTGCATGACACGACTGACGAACTGTTGAAGCAACAGTTCCAGGAGTTGTCCCGCCTGGGGCGGAAGTCTTGTTCACAACCCAGCGTATTTGTTTGTGAAACAGTCCCAGCAGTGTTTTACCTTCGACACTAATGGTGTCGAACGATACGCTAGCCCTAATCAAGAACATAAGAAGTGTGACTTTGATTTGATTACTGTGATTGGACGACCGCGAGGTGGACGTGCTTGCGAATCGGCCTAAGGGGTCTGCAGCCTTCACTTCTTCTTGTGTACTTGATTAGGGCTAACGCATCGTTCCACACCATTAAAGCCGAAGATAAAAGCCTTGCTGTCACTGTTACTTCAAGCATGAATAAAGCCGCGACCCCCCACACACATCCGCAAACCAATGCAAACAGTGATGTTGCGGGGAGGTGGGATACATAGTCGTAGCTCAGCATTTCGTGCGCCTGCTCTTGCTCAACCCATCCAGCGGACTCCTTTGGAGAATATCTTGGAGATTTCACATATGTAGTTAGAGGTATGACGCAATTCGAATAAGGATTGAGTCATTTGACCAAGCTGCAAGGCGGTGATATCAACTGCTTAATTTCCTCGAAATGTGGCATTCACTTGGCGAGGTCGTATAGAACAGGCGTGTTGAGCCGTGATTCTATGATTCTTCCCTGGAAAACATGCGACGCATTACCAGCAACCCTACGGTCTCCATGACTTGGAATTTGGCAAGAGACTTTCGCGTATTAGAATTCAGGTCTGCATCTTTCGTCCATTGAGTGGATGCGTCGTTCACCTACTATATGCGCAACCTGGCGTCGCGCGCTCTCAGAGGGCTTTGTGGCAGAAACTTTTCTTTGTCAACGTTATTACAGAAGTTGTTGGCGGCATCATCCCTGAAAGATTACGTCAATAACCAGGCAATCTTCTGTGCCAGAAAGCAGAAACAAACTAACAGACAGAAAATGACACCAAGACCGCACATCCACCAAGCACCAATGCAGCACAGCACGCCTAGTCGGTTGATGCGTTTTTCGACCGCCTAGGATTCCGTATTATTAGGGCTTATTGTAGGCAGAAATATTCTCATTATTCATTATTTGCCTACTTCACTTTTCGCCGCGTTCTAGTAGTCATCAAGTTCATGAAGGGATTCAGAAGGGTAAAGCACCTGGCTTGAATTTCTTACTTTTTTTTTAATGCGCTTTACATTCAAACTCCAGCGGTGATTGTGGTGGCGGATAAATAAGTCTCCTATTATATAAAAAATTAGGCTTGAAGTCATTAAGTAAAGTTGCCGATTTTCCGTCATATCCGCGGCCCTCCTTATTCCCAAAAAAATGTTGGATTGTTCTAGAAACAATTGGTATGTGGTGACTTCAGACCTCAACTCGCTACCCATATGTTACGAGCGGTAGTCAGAATGCTATACAGACGGTTGGCTTTATGCTTCTTTCCCGCTCTTCATACCCCTTTGATGATATCTAAACCAATCACCAGTTTTGTCGCTGAGTTGCTCTCCTTCTGAGAAGCGACAAAACTGGTGATTATGGTCTTTTGGGTACTTAAAACACATTACTTTGTACATTCTCCGTCTCGACAGTGCTCTTAACACAGTTCGGTCTTTTTCTCCCTAGCGTTAGTTCTGCGCAGCCGCAGAGTCCGCTGCCTTTGCCAGTCGTCACCACTTTGCTCTGTCCAGAACATCTTCCTATCGTGGCCGCGACCTCACCTAGGTCCTTCTTGATTACGTCTTTCCACCTTTTCTTCGGGGCTCCTCGCGGTCGCTTGCCTTGTACTTCGAAGTCCATCGCTGTTCTTATCGGATGGATCCTGTGGCCTCCTTAGCACATGCCCATACCATCGCAGACGCTGTTCCTCGTACCTTCAGCTGGACAGGGGCAGTCTGCATGACCGCTCTGACATCCTCGTTTCTAACCCTGTCCAGCCGCAGGCCCATCTCAGCATCCTCATTTCGGCAGAGTGAAGCTGCCTTTCGTGATTCTTGTTCAGGCCCAGCACTCGCTGCCGTAGAGCATCGCAGGCCTTACCACTGTCCGGTACACCTTCCCTTTGAGCGCTCTGGAGCACCTTCGATCGCAGAGGATTCCAGTGGACTCCCTCCATTTCATCCACAGCGGACTTTGATCCGAGGCCGGTCACGCTTGCTCCATACACACTACGCGTCGGGTCCGATAGATCGCTTGGTAGCGGGAAGTCCTCCACCCTTTCAATGCAACTTAGTCTTGTTGACATCCAGCAGGAGCCCACCTCCTGACACGACTTTCTGCCATTTCTGCGCCTTAGCATGAAGTTCCTTTCTGCTATCCGCTATCAGAGCTATGTCGTCAGCGTAGAGGATGGTCTTCAGTGGTCCTTCCATATCGCACGACTCACCAAAGACTCTGGTGTCGGAGTGAAGAGGAACGCGCTTCAAAGCTGATACCTCGTGCACCGGCGCCCAACCGTTGATTGTCCAGCCTGCTTGCGTTAAGCCATGTAGCTTACGTACTAGCGAGATCAGGTGTTCTGGCACGTTTCCGTTCCCTGAGCGCTCTCCATAGTACTGCTCGCGGTAGCCGGTCGAACGCCTTCTCCAGGTCGAGGAAGGCTAGGTAGCAGGGTCGGCGCTTTTCTCGATACTTCTCCATCACTTGCCTTGCGATGAAGATGGCATCCGTTGTAGACCTTTCGGGCATGAACCCGAACTGTTCCTGGGAGATCGGGACCAGCTCCCGCAGTTTCGAGTCGACCAGTCGCTCGTACAACTTCATGGTATGCGCAGTCAACTTGATCCCGCGGTAGTTGGAGCAGTCCATCGCGTCACCCTTCTGCTTGAAGATGGGGACGATAGTACTTGTTCTCCAGGCATCCGGCATCCTTCCTTCGGCAGTCACCGTGTTCAGGAAGCGGGTGAGCCACCTTACCCCGTGCTCTCCCAGGCGCCTTCCAAGCCTCTATGGGTACTCCATCGGACCAACCGCCTTTCCAACCTTCATCTTCCCAAGTGCACACCGAACCTCATCCTCTGTCCAGAGTGCGATGGGACCAGCTGTGGCCTCTGCCCGTGAGTTGTTCTTGTGGGGGAACTCCTCGTTCAGAAGACCTCTGAAGTACTCTTCCCACCTCCTCCGAACTTCGGCTGGCTTCCTCAGATGGCGCCATTGCTTTACACTCTTCACCACCCTGATGTCTTGAGTAGCCCGATGCCGGGCTTTGGCCAGTCTGAAGACGAACTTCTCTGCGTTTCTGCTTTCCAACTTCTCGTACAAGGCGTCCATCTCCGTGTTCTTCGCCTTGGCGACGGCAGCCTTAGCGAGCCTCTTGCAACTCTTGTAGGCAGCGAGGTCCTCTGCCAGCGCTTGTATGCTTCCTTCTTCTGCTTCACGACTCGCTGGACCTCCTCGTTCCAGAACCACGCTGCCTTGTCTCCTCTGAATCCACCTCGCGTCTCGCCCAGTACCTCCTTGGCGCATCGTAGGATGATCTCAGCTGCATTGCCCCAAGTCTGCTGCACTGGTCCCTCAGGATCTGGGAGACCAACTTCCATTATCCTTCGTTTGAGGTCACTCTTCTGGTGCAACTTCCACCACCGGATTCTCCTCTCGGTTCTTACCCTTGTCTTCTTGGGGAGGTCTATGGCTATGTCTGCCAGGAGGGGCCTGTGCTGGGAGCCAGTTCTTCGCCAGGGAGTACCTTGATGTCCTTCACAGTTTCTGAGGGATGATCTTCTTACCAGCACATGGTCGATTTCCGTTGTCTCCCTCCACTGCTGTAGGTTACCTTCTGAGTCTCCCTTTTCGCGAAGAACGTGCTGCAGATTGCCAGATCGTGGGCCGTAGCCAGGTCCAGGACCCTCTCTCCCTCAGCGTTCTCGTTCCTATCCCTTTACCTTCGGCAACTAACGCCCATTTTTCTTTCTTCCAGATAGAAAGCAAAAATGAGCACCACTTTGTTTATTAACGGAAGGGGAGGGGGGTTGTACACATCACTTCATGCGTATAGGACGGGCAAACTGCTGTAACTCTGTATAATTTTTAACCGCGTTTTCGACTCAATTTAGCAATGTGTACGCTTCTGTCTCGTAACTTTATTGCTATTTTTCCGTGGACTCGAGTAGAACATAGAAGGCACTTCTTGATGATTTTCTTGTTCAGGCTTAATTTATTCGGAAAAGGAGCGGAAGCAGGTTGCGATATTAACTACTAATTTTGTTTGGGATCCTCGATATTAGAAAAGCTTACAGCCAGTTAGCGATACGACAGGAATGAAGACGACAATAGATACCAAGTAAAAGTGCTATTGAAGTTTCACAAGAATGCTGGGTTGTGAACAAAACTTTCGCCCCAGGCGGGACTAGAACCCGCACCTCTCGCTTTCCGGGCAAGTGCGCTACCAGTTACGCTACCGGGGCACCATTTCATTCCCAACTCAGCTTTTCATGGTATACGTACCATAGCTTTGTCAGCACTCACACGTATAACGTGTTGAGCCGGTTAGCCGATATCGGCAGTAAACTGCAAGGCGGAAAGCTTTAGCTTTAGCGTTTTGGCAAACCCAAAAAGCCAGCACCCTTGTGAAATTTCCAAGGCGAACTGCGGCCAAAAACCGCAGTTACGATCAAAAACAAGTCAAAATCTAGAACTGGAAGCTACATCTACACTGACTTTTCGATTAAACACGCAGTTGAAAGAGCGCCAGTACCCACCAGCTGATGGCATTCTGAGCATAGCGTGAACTGCTTCCTTTTCGGATCGTCTTTCCCATCTTGCATATCCTGATTGAAATCCATGTCTACTCGACCACCAAACGGTTGTGAATTTTGAAAATGATTGCACCTCTGCTAATGGAGTGTTCAGAGTTGGCGATCGTACGTGCGATTAGGCGATTGGCGATAGGCGGGGAAGACAACATACGTATTGATTGGTTTGCTCCGCCCATAGAACGTTGTAGGCGAGTAGGCGATCGCTCGATGGGCGGAGCAACAAATCAATACTTATCCTTCTTTACGCACGTCGAGTGAAGACGTGGATTCGACATCTCCATTCCTTACAGTGAGCTCGTACTCGATTCTAGCATCCATCCATTTCAGTCTCCTTCGAGATCTCTTGAGGAACAATATATATTGAATGACAAATTGACAAGTAAGAAAATGCAAGTGAGATCAGAGTTATTCGAGTAAATAACCACGCCTTCGCTCACAACAGCGTTGTATTCAACAACACTAGAAGGAACAAACTTTGACAAATGTACCAGACGATATTCAAAACATGATCATAAAATGGAATGTGTCCTTCAATTTTAGGTGGGAACCATTCGGTTTGAATGTAGCAATGTGTGATAATCGATCTAAAGGTGGAGACAATATGTATTTTTTATTGCCCCCCCCCCCTGCACGCACGGGGAGGTGCCATAAGTTGCAACGCAACGTCGTCTAGAGACTTGTTACCACATATCCCGATGGCCGATGCGATTCGCGCGATTCGCTAGCGTCCGCGGTCGCGTTGCGGTACCAGCCAATTGAGTGATTCACTGGCCGCGACGCGACCGCAGACGCTAGCGAATCGCGCGATTCGCAAAGTCTGACATCGGCCTATGTGACGATCATCGTGTTACTGATGCACGAATTCTCCTTCCCAGTTGTAAGTCTCTTTATTCGATCACACTAACCCATCTTAAATAAATATCACGTCAATAAAAGAAAACAATATAATAGATCTTGAGCACATTGGTCACCACCAAAGGCAACGAATCTATGAGCATAGACCTGAGCCAATATAACAATCTATACGTTAGAAATACATTGTAGACAGATGCCGAAATTCTAGCTATACTTCCCCCAGTTTGCTTTCATGCAAGGAAAAATAGCCTTATGCGTCTTGTGAAGTTAGAAAGTCATTCCATCCCTAAAAATATCCCAAATAAAGCTAGAGGCTAAGGAATAAATTTCCAGGAGGCACTGGAAATTTATAACTGGAGAAGATTAAGCGTATCACTAGAAAACACGCGGTGACCGCATAATTGGTACAACCCGACTGTTTCTGTGACACAGCTAGATGATACTAATAAATTAACATTAAAAAATCTATACCAATCTAACCAGACTCGCTTCCTGAAAACATATCGGATTCGTATAACTTCGTATGTTTCAAAAGATTCAACTTATAACAATCAGTAAGTCCACTGCTAGGCGCTAGATTTTGTTTTTAGCTTGAATCCCACTCAGGTAATTAAAAAACATGTTGCAGGCAGACTTGAAAACTAACGAAGCGCCCACTAGCCAACAGAGGTACAAACGAAAATTACAAGTTCAGATAAAAATGGTAAGAAGACAACAATGCGACCAATAGCTTTGTACTCAACTGAAAAATTCCTACAAGGAATCTATATCGTACACGCGGAATCGGAATTAGGTAAGTACATTTCTACGTAACGATCCGTACTCTTCACATTGATCTTCTTGCCTTCGAGAGGTGGTTCACTCACGTGATCACTTGACACATATAAGCGGTGAATGAACTCCTAAAATGGATTCTAGTAACAAAATAGTAGCAAAGAGAAGTGTTGAACTATTTGGAAACATATATATTAATCAAATACTAAAGAACATAACCAAAAGCAATCCAGCAAAAATTAAAAATATCTCCAGGTTTTCGCAAACACGAATCAAAAGCAAGGACCTCGCCTGAAATCAATAAATTCCCCCCTTTTGCGTGGGAAGAGACGAGTTTATAATCTGTCCCGGGGTCGGTCCTATCGTAGGGACTTTTTGAAAATTTCTTATTTTCTTTTCTTTCTTTTCTTTTTCCCCTTTTCATGAGAGATTTCATACGACCCCCTCATCACAACACAACATTTCTTAATTCCCATAAAATCAACGTCGAGCCGAGACCCCCCCCCCCAATCTGTTGGTAGCTTGTCAACGTATGGGTTGACCCTGATCCCTGCATTGTCCTCATGATAGCCTACTGTTACGAGCTTATGGAGCAACAGAGGAGGCCACATCGGATTGAAGGGAACGGGTGAGGATGAATCGTCATTCGAGAAGAGGAGTCGTATCTGCGTGGATGTCACAGTGTCACTGAGTTTATTTATTATTTATTTATTATTACTATCAGTTCATCGTTGTAACAAGGTGGCTCGTACAATAAAACTCAAGTACGATAGAACAAGAACATTGAAGGAACGAAAGAAAAATTTCATACAATGAACATTTGAGCATCACATGTATTCAAAATAGTCGTAGCGTGAGCAAGTTGGATAAAAAAGGGATCGAAGGGGGGGGGGACATGCAGCTCTAAGGTACGCCTTGCATTTGGCAGACTAAAGCACCTCAGGGGCTGGCATAACGAATGAAGCAAATAGCTAACAACCACACATGTAAATTGATCATTTTCGATAGTTTCCTGACTGAAAAAAGCCTTGTAATTCTGCAGAAAATCAACAGCACAAATAAAGATGCACTCAAAAGAGCAATGTCCTCGTGGGGTTTTTGATGCGAGATTACTTGCATCGCCTATATGGTGTAAAATCTCATTGCACACGCACGGCTGCCGAATGTAAAGAGTATTTCTTAGAGATGAAGAAGTTCACGACTAGGGTGGAAGAATTTCAAAAAGATAAACTATTTTTCAAAAAATCTTGAGATTTTCAAGAAAAAATTCCAAAAAATTCTGGGAAATTGCCGTTCTTGTTGCAATATACATATTCCTTTTTCACAACCTCGACGGACATTTTTGAGTAAAAAGAATTAGTGCTGAGGCAGGAAAGTGGGATATTTGACGAATTTGTTCCATATGAGGCTCATCCTGACAGAGCCTTCCTTGAAAGGCTCGCCCACTGGTTAGAGTCAACTACGGACCACAAACTATTACTCAGCAACTTTATAAAGGAGCACGCAACAATTTATTTTTGCAGTTTTTCTCCATCGGAAAAGAAGTAACTGTCTGTTACAGAGAAGATTGATGGAAGTCACGAACGCTAGACAGCCGACGATTTTTTCGCATGATGAAAAACAGCATCGAATTGTTTATTAATGGCAATGTCAATCAACTCACCGGCAGTTTCACGAACGTGAGTGATATCGCCTTAGCGAGAAGATCGGTGGTGTAGAAGTCATCGTTGTCACTCGTTCCTACTCGATTATTTGAGCACCTTCTCCAGCCTTCAGCGACCACTCCTTTTCGTCCAGCTTCTTCGCCTCCCATTCGCACTCGCAAACAAGCATTATCCTAGGATACAAATCTTGATACTACTACACTTGTTCCAAATTCAGCAAATGTCGTCAACAATACAGTTCGCAGGTATAATAAAAAAAAACAAAATATAAGGTTGGAAAGTTTAAGTCCGCCATTTTTAAATATTTCCCAATCGCGAAGTATAATTGCATCAAAAACAGTCATACCTTCTTGCTGGTTATTCTCGATAATCAGATCAGTGCCTTTCAAATCAACTTCTCGAATACGTCCACAGTTTTCGTTTTCAACATTTGAGTAGTCCTGTTTCACTGGAAAAACCAGATTGAACATGAATGACAAAATGAGTAAACGAATACATATAGGTAAATGCTAAACAATGAGCACGATCGAGAATCGGGATTCCACTTGTAATGTTTAAACTCGAAATTTTCCTTTAAGGGTCAAAACAAAGAGATCAAAAGAGGTGGTTGGGGAATCGAAAACCCGAAATCACTAGAACAAATACAAGAAAGAACGAATCATTCACAAAACCTTCTGGTTCTTGAAGACGAGGTGGTCCAGTGAGAATATGCCACCATCGCCAGGCGGGTGGCTCGAATACAACAGGTGGACGACACCTTCGGCAACCAGTACATGCCTCCTCATACAGCATCTTTGCCTCCATATCAGTTGGGGAACGCTGTAAAATTAGCATATAATATGGTACTATTACTGATAAGTTGAGATAAATGCGACAACCAAGCAGTAATAACGTGTAGTAATTGGTAACGTGAACCCTGAACAGTAAAAGTTCGAAGTTAGACGGGCTGGAGACTGGAAATCAACTACGTTGCACATCAGAGCGAACAGTGACCAAGAGCACACCTTCAGCAGACTCTTAAAGACACTTCCAGCTGATTATTACACAGCAGTGACATGTAATCAATAGGACACATTAGTGCTGACAGCGGCCACGCGACTCTCTTATAGATTGGGTGACATCTCGTCCTTTTAGTCTGACCTTAACACGCATCCAAGGACATTTTCATTAGCTGGGTTCTGTTTGATTGCACCTTCTCCCGAAATAACAGAATTCACGTGAATGGCACGAAATCACAAAGGCTTTCTAAATTTTTCCCCCTACATTTTTGACCTACCTCCAAGAACTTCAACAATGAGCAACGCGCCTTACGTACGTGTTTTGGCAGCGTTTCGAAATTCTCGTACACATACATTTGACAGTTTTTTTTTCATTCTGATAGCATTTATAAAGAACTACTTCTTGCTCACTTCTAGAAAGATTAAACCAACGAATTTCTTTCTGACGAGTTTTAGCAGCACTGGCTCAATGAGTAAAGATAACGTAAATAAAGTGGTTGTAGACACATCGCTGAGACCTGAGGAATCTACCAACAACACTACTCACGTGCAAAGCACGCCAACAACTAGTCCTGAATTTGTTCTTTGACAAGGTGAGTCTTCCCACGTGCCCGGACGAGGAACTTATCCATCTGTTGTCACGGAAGCACAGAGAGCGAAAAGAATGAGCGTCCTACGCAGCTCATATTATGACTTCGAGGTACGATTCATGTTGTACCTACGGTAAAAGGAAACCATGAGGATATGAAGCGCTTTAATTTCTGAGTACTTAATTCGAAGATAAATAACTTCAACCAAATACGAAAAAATCACCTTTAACATCTCCCACAGATAAGCCCAACGACGTTTTAACCTTCCGAAGTACCACAGTTTACGTCGGCGTTCCTCTATATGACGGAACCATCCAGCACCCACGTCACCGACCCCATAAATCGGCAGCGCTGACTCATCGCCTTCCTAAAGATAATATTTGGAGACGATTATATTACAGAAGTGCCCACGTCTCTCACACTTACTAGAGTGAACTCAAAAGCTTGAACTTTTCGACTTTGCTCTTCGATGAGAGCCATTGCACTCTCACACATTCTCCGAACATCTTTCGACGATTCTGAAGTAGAGCTTTGACTTTGCGGCAATTACAGAGTACATAATTTGGAGTCACGTAGATGCCTACCGAAAACGTGTGGAGCAAGTCGTTTTAGCGAAAGATTGTCATATCCGCCAGGGAACACTCCTATCGGCAGTAAGCTGTTCTCCCTACAGATAGGTAAATGAGGACAAATCTCGACTAAAGTAAAATCACTAGCAAATTTGGTATGACGAGCCTGTTCCGTAGAATTCCTGTTACAACTCTTCCGAGAGTTCCATCGCCACCTACGATATAAATTGCGTCCGCTTCTTGCGTGTCCACAGCCGCTGCTAAAGCCTCTAGTTGGACTCTCATTGTCAGCCTAAACAAAGAAAATGGATTGGCCGATGTCAGACATTGCGATTGGAGCGATTTTGCACCAATTGCAGGAGCGACGGATCGCTTGAGCGATGCGAGCGACGGGAGATTTACGAACTGATGGCGCCGAATTATCGGTGGTCGGCGGTGTAAATCTCCCGTCGCTCGCATCGCTCAAGCGGATGCCAGCCGCTCCCTGGGAATTGGTGCAGAAATCGCTGCTAAATGCAAAGGTCTGACCTGCCATTGAGAATCCACACTACGAAAGGATAGCACCAGATATAATTGAACCGACTCATTAGTATAAACACACTCACCCTTGAGATTATATCCACCTGAAGCCTGCCAAGTGCATCAAGGCAAGGCGTTTTTCGTGAAATCACGTAACATGACCGTTTTCATTCGACAATAAGTATCTGAGCCAGACCACGAGTACACGACGAGGTCTTTCTTCGGCTAGAAAGTGATTATACTTCCTTGTTACATTCGCTCCTGATTGATATGCTGAGCATTTGTTATCTGTTATCACACCGTTGAAAATAGCAAAGATCTGCAGTCCTACTATCTGCACAAGTCAGCTGACATTTGATATTGTAAACCATCTTGCACCGATCAGTCTTTGCACGCGTTGCACATCCGCTGATTTTCCAGAAAAATTATGGCACTACTCATTACTACTGCCCCAAGATCTCAAAATTTTATTTTACGCCGAAACTTTGCCAACACTGCGCTGGCACCAATTTGTCACGACCCGCTGCTTTCAACAAAATTCGTGTATACGTGTAAACAGGGCACATTTGGTGTCCTGATTATGAGGTTAATTATTGGCACCGGTGCCGTTTCATGCCTACTTTCTGCTCATCTATGCCCTCTCACTTATAATGCCTAGGGCTCGGCTTATTGGACGAGGGGGACTCCGGCGTGGTTAAATTATCAAAGTGCGGCAAAAGTTGAAGCGTGTGAGATCACAGGGTGATTGGCACACTCACCTCTTAGCCCTCCTCCAGCTCGACCACGATTGCGAGCAAACCAGTGCGAGGACGCAGACGAGGAGAAAATAAACGTCAAAAAGTAGCAGCGCCAAAAATTAATGCCACATTCGTAATCAGGACCCCAAATAACCCCTGTTTACAAGTTTACAGCGATTTGGTGAAAACAGCCGTGGCGCCAAATGACACCAGCATCAAAAATGAATGTCATATTCGTAATCAGGGCATCGAATTACCCCAATAGGCAAAGTTTCGACGAAAAATAAAACTTTGAGATTTTGGGGCAGTAATAGTGGAATAGTACCAAAATTATTCATGTACAACGTGAACGAGAATGCTATTTGTTCAAAAAATTAGAAAACACTGATAAGCTACCAAGTTCACTTCTATTTAACTGGCCGTGCCTTCCATACTGCACAGTATGGCTTTCACTCATATCCTTTTAGGCAAAAAATTCAAAAGAGTGCTAACAGAAAAAAACTACACACGTACGGCTCCAGGTAAGACGTACCTTACCAGTAAACAGACTTAGAATCCAAAAGTTACAATAAATGCACGCAGAAAAAGTCATGGTGAAAACGGTTCCTACCTGAGACTGGCGCATCACCGTATTTCTTCGCTTGGAGAGCGTAAGCAGTGCGAATTTTGCTGTTCCTATAAAAAATACATAAGGGAACATCTGCGTGGAGTCAACTTGAGTAAATACTTGACATAACGCATTTGGTTTTGCATCGGTTTATCTTTCATAACTCCCTCAAGAAAATGATATACCACACCAAATCGGTTCTTGTCAATGAATTTAAAAGAATACTACGCCCGCTAGGAATTTACACAACGGTGTTTTTTTAATCCAGCAAGCTTTTCTCGTGAATCAAGGTCCATGGGTACTTTGTTTATTCAAGACCAGATTAGTCCCCCGTCAACCGCCGGGACCTTCCTTCCTGCGCAAGCGTTATGTTTTGCGCTGTGGTCCCTT